ACTGGATTTGTGACTAAAGTATGAAATGGAGTGGGATAGGAAGGATGTGGTTCTGGCCAGTATGGGACACAATTACAAGGATGACTTCCTCCTCTGAAATCCCACTGCCCCTAATGCCTGTTGGTGGAGGTCACTGAGAGAATGCAACCCTGCCTGACAGGCAAGCTGGACGTGGGCAGCTGGAGGCTCCTCATCTCCTTCCCATTCATGGAATGTGCATTTCACTTATTTCCCTGATCTATAAGCTGCCCCAAGGACATGGTCTTCAAATAGTAATGTGTTTTTGAGACCATCCGAATGGTATACATGATTGAGCTCAGTTAAGGCTCTATATAGATTATGATACCAACAGATGTGTGCAAAGATCTACTCATCTTGTGCCACCCAACACAGGTTTCTTAAGTAAGTTCTCTTGCTTATTAAAACTACTACCTACCAATGTGAAGAGGTCTACTTTTTTCCTCAGTCTCTCCTTGCCCTCTGTGTTCAGAAGCCAGTTTACGAATGAACTCTGCCGCACTCATCTGGCCCTCGGCATTACTGCCCTAATGGTCAAACCACAGGGTAAAATGAGGGGTGAGAAACAAGAACAGGGCTTTCCTTTGTTTCCAAGGCCTGGCCCTCAACAGTTAACATTCAGTGATCAAACTAATCACTGAAAATTGACTCAAATAATCATTGATCATTGATTCAGATCTTTACAGGAGAATGGCTGAAATTCTAAGAAGAAAACAGAACTAGGTATCAGGAAATGGTAATTTCATGAGGTATCGGTGAGACAGAGCAGGAATTGGACTCAGGTTTCCTAACCTGACTGAGAAATCTAGCATTCCTTATCTTCTTCATAAGGAGAAAACAAAAAAGTTAAAACTCTATGTCTCTTGAGTAGCACATCTTGCAGGAATGTGAGGGAGGATGCTTACTGAAAGGAACATATTTACTACCATGACTGGTGAAGACCAGACCAAACCAGTCTGCACCAAGATGGACCCCAGTGCTGAACTTTCACTGACTTCTTCTCTCATTATAATACTAAAAGTCATATCCAGGGGTGGAGATTTAACATGTTAATTAGACATGCGATGTATGAAGACACATGGCATTTTAGACCCCTGCCTCTATGCTTTGACATTACCCTTTCCCACCCAAGTTTCTGATAAAAACTCTCCCTGACCTTGCCTTGGGGTGGGGGGTCAGCCTGAGGACACTTCTTTGCGCTGCTTCCCTATGCTTAAGCATAAGCTCCAATAAAGCCTTGCTGGAAATTCCCATTTAGCCTCTTGTCAATTTCTATTGCTGAGCGAGCCCAAGGGCTCAGTTCAGTTTCACACATCTCCAGCTAAGTAGTGAAGGGGAGGGGAGGGATTGTAGGGAGTACAGTGCAGCGCCTCTAAGTATGATCTTCACTGTTCACAGGCTGGACACCTGCTGTGTCTTAAAACATTCATGTGCCTGGGACCCTGACCCAGACCTTACCAGCCTGGGGTAGGGGTGCTGGGATATGTGCACTTTCAACAAGTCCCCAGATCATTCTTGTGCATATTAAAGCCTGAAAATGACTACTTTGATGAGTATAAAAGGAGGTCCTGAACAGATCCTGAAGAGGGCTGACCATGAAATCCTAAGTTTAGAGTACTAGTTATACCAGAAGGAGAAATGAAACTTAAATATTCAAACTTGTTCCTCTGCCTCCAAAAGAAGAAAAATATGCTTTGGCAACACTGCCATGAAAACAACTAAAGAAGATAACTCCTACACAGCAGAGTTGTGCAGAGAACCACACTGTACTGATAATGATCAATGTTAATAATGAAGGCTAATATGGTTTGAAGACAAGAATAATTTATTTTTTTTTTCAACGTTTATTTATTTTTTGGGGGGACAGAGAGAGACAGAGCATGAACGGGGGAGGGGCAGAGAGAGAGGGAGACACAGAATCAGAAACAGGCTCCAGGCTCTGAGCCATCAGCCCAGAGCCCGATGCGGGGCTCGAACTCACGGACCGCGAGATCGTGACCTGGCTGAAGTCGGACGCTTAACCGACTGCGCCACCCAGGCGCCCCCAGACAAGAATAATTTGAATAAAACCTTACAAATGACCAGGTGATGATGAACACTGTGTCTCTAAAAGCACCAAACAATGTTTTAATTGAATGTTTAGTTTTTTCCTAACACTATTTAATTTTTTTCCAGCAGGATACTCACATTGTTATACATGTATTTTGTAAACTAAAATTATCCAAGTGTTTCTGGCATTTAGAGCAGTCATAGCCAGGTTGTGGGTGTATGGAGAAAAAGGAAAGATAGCTGGGCTCAAGCAGTGGTTCTCAATAACAGTGAGTAGCAGTGGGGTAGGTTTTAACCCTACAGGACATTTGGCAATGTCTGGAGACATTTTTGGTTGTCACAACTAGGGGGATGATACTAGCATCTAGTGGGTATAGGCTAGGGATATTGCTAAACAAAAATTCAAAGGATGGTCCCCACAACAAAGAACTATCCAGGCTATAAAGGCAGTAGTGTTAAGGTTGGCAACACCAGGGCAAAATGCCAGGGCTAAACTTGAGGACTAGTCTACAAGATACTGGAAAGCTTGTGGGTGCACATATTCCAGGATTTACTGAAAGTGCACTAAGGCTCCTCCAAAGATATCCCACAAGAGTCTCTATTTGATGTGGAGGGTGTGAACTAACTTCTCTCCCTTTTTCTAAACTATTATTTATCACATGCTTGATTTTACATATTTGTTTTTAAATTGTCCTATTACTCTCAAAGGCAAAACATCTTTTTCATTTTTAGTAAACAAACACAATGACCGGGACAAAAAACACAGAGCTAGTGAAAGAACCTTTAAAAAATCTTAAAAACATTCTAGAACATAGTCCTCATTTAGGCCCATAAAAGCTTGGTGATTTATTTGTGGAAAAGAAAACATCTTTTTTAACAAAGAAATTAGATTCCTGAAACGACCTGGTCATCTTATGTGACATAGGAGCACACTTCTTTTTGGTTATTGCCTTATTTAAAATTTTAACTCCATCATTTTGATCAGTTACATAAACAGGGGTGGGTTTTTTGTTTTTGTTTTTGGTTCTCTGGATTTATGCTCAAAATAAGGAAAGATTAAGAATTTTATGCATTCTATTTTTAGAATGCCTCCAGTGTAAGGCATTTGTTTAAAATAAGAGATTTTATTTTGATAAAAGTGCTTGCTTGCTTAAACTGTTATCCTAAGGATGCTGGGGAAGCAGTGAAGCATCCAAAATCTTACACATGACAAGACCTTTCATTATTTGGCCTCTGCTTACTTCTCCACAGAGGAATGTATCTTGCCTTTTCTCAGTATTTTGTGCTCAAGTCACAGTTGATAATTTATATGTTATGTATCTCAGTCCTTTCTCCTCTAAGCATTTTTGATCCTCTTCTGGGATTTATTCTTCTGACACCACGCCTAACTGCTATTCATCCTTTAAGTTTAAAATTAGATACCACAATGCCTCTTCCACCTACAAGGCCAGAGGCTAAATGTCCCTTCTTATACTCCCACAGCACTCTGGACTTATACTTCCTGTACTCTGGTCAAACTCTATTACAATTACTTGCATATTTTGTATCTAGAGAGTGTCTGGGTTTCATTTGTCTTTCTGTCTCCAGAGCCTAAAATAGTCTCTGAGGTATAATAGGCACATAATACATATTTATTAAATACATATATCATTGATAATCCATGATATCAGGTATGTAGAGGAGCCAGTTCATATCAAGCCCTGGTTGATTAGAGCCAGATGAAACTATTTCTATTATTGCACCAATAAGAAATTCACAAGGACATCAAACTAGCTTCCAAAATCCTTAACTAGTCAGTGAGAATACAGGCAACACAGACAGGTTTAAAATTGGCAAAACTGGCCTGTACACAATGTCCTTAGAACAGAGTTTTAAGTAAGACAGGAATACAATAAAATATGATCTTTAGAGAGATCAATCTGACAACAGAAGAGAAACTTATGGGACTACATTTGGAACACAGTTCTACTATACATAATCTTGATTAGCTAGAAAAACCCACATGGCCCACTTAGCTCCTCCCTGAGAGTTAGGGAAGTCTCTGCCCCAATGTACTGTGAATAGTGGATCCCTGGGAATATTCTTATATACCCAGCATCAAATATAGCCTGGGATATGGGAAGAGCTCAGTAAAATGAAAAAACAAATACATGAATAAAAAGCTTGTTTTCAAGCCAGGATGTCTGGCGGTAGCTACTCATTTAAAAAATATGAGTCAGTACAAACAAAACCAAAAAACTAAGCCTGCCATTTGCAACATCCATGGTGTATCGAAGGTATAACGCTACATGAAATGAGTCAAGACAGAAAAAGACAAATACCACACACTTTCACTTATATGTGGAATCTAAAAAACAAAACAAACGAATAAACAAACAAATAAGCGAAAGCAGAGACAGACCCATAAATACAGAGAACTAATGGTTCCTAGAGGGCAAGGGGGTGGAGGATGGGCAAAATGGGTGAAGGAGAGTAGGAGGAATAGGCTTCTAGTTATAGAATGAGTAAGTTACAAGGGTGAAAAGTACAGCATAAGCATACAGTCAATGTTACTGTAATAATGTAATGGTAATGCTCATGGTAGGCAGAGCTATGTTGTACATGTGAAATTAATGTAACATTGTGTGCCAACTATATTTCACTTAAAAAAATTAAAAACAAAAAAACTAGGCCTCTATGACTGAGTAATAAACTAATATAAATTTTAGAAACGTATTCATAGTATGTGTCCTATGTGTCAGCCACGTGCCAGCTTCCAATATGAAGTGCAAAACCCAGTATACTGCATTTTGCTTCGTTTATGCAATAGATCTTCCAAGGCAAGGTCTTATCCTTGCTGCCAAAATATGGAATATTATTTAAATGAAAATGTTAGTAGGATTATTTTACAAAGTGCTTTTTTCCAAAGTCAAAGCACTATCAAAATGACTTACCTGAGACAATTTTGTTGTAGTAGCAGGCAGAAGTGGACGACTAAACTTCTTCTGAGATCCAATGGCTGCTGGAAATGGTGGTGCAGAAAATACAGCTGCAACACAATTAATTTTGTTTATCCATCCTTGCATTTCCTCTGCACTCCTATGAGAAACAGATAAATTTACATCAGGGTATTTCTCTATCTAAGTGTATCACACCTTGCCCATTTCTCATTATTGATTTAAAATGTTACATAAAGTCATTTATATTTCTTGGTAATTGATCCTTGATAAAATTTCACTGAGATAAACATTTTCAACAGCAATTACCATAGTAATAAAAGGCCCTGGAACCGATGATCATTACAATATAAGGCTGTGATTATTCCTCAAGGAAACAGAAGGGGAAAAAAGCAAAATCAGTCGACAATAAATATTAAACCCCTACTTTGTTTGATACTAGACTCAGTCAAACATTAATTTAAAAATTAGCTCCTCTTTCTATCACATAATTCAATTTTAAAATCCAACTGAGGAACAAATTGATAGAATTTAAAAGGAATATAAAAGGAAACAACACTTGGAAAGTAGCTTTGACAGTTTTCTTGAAAAGTTAACTATATAAATTTATCATACAATCCAGCAGTTCTATTCCTAGGAATACACCCAAGAGAAATAAAAACATATAGGCACAGAAAGATCTACATGTGAATGTTCACAGCAGCACTATTTATTTATTTATTAAATATATGAAACTTATTGTCAAATTGGTTTCCATACAACACCCAGTGCTCATCCCAAAAGATGCCCTCTTTAATACCCATCACCCACCCTCTCCTCCCTCCCACCCCCCATCAACCCTCAGTTTGTTCTCAGTTTTTAAGAGTCTCTTATGCTTTGGCTCTCTCCCACTCTAACCTCTCTCTCTCTCTCTTTTTTTTTTCCCTTCCCCTCCCCCATGGGTTCCTGTTAAGTTTCTCAGGATCCACAGAAGAGTGAAAACATGTGGTATCTGTCTTTCTCTGTATGGCTTATTTCACTTAGCATAACACTCTCCAGTTCCGTCCACGTTGCTACAAAGGGCCATATTTCATTCTTTCTCATTGCCACATAGTACTCCATTGTGTATATAAACCACAGTTTCTTTATCCATTCATCAGTTGATGGACATTTAGGCTCTTTCCATAATTTGGCTATTGTTGAGAGTGACAGCAGCACTATTTATAAAAGTCAAAAAGGGGAAACAATCCAAATGTCTGTCAACTCATGAATGAATAAAAGAAAAATGTAATATATATCCATACAGTGGAATACTACTTGGTAATAAAGGCATGAAGGGCAGATACATGTTATAACATGGTGAACCCCCAAAAGTTTATGGTAAGTGAAAAAAAGCCAGATACATTTCATACTATATGTTCCACATACATGAAAAATCCAGAAAAGGCAATACCATAGAGACACAAAGGAGATTAGTGGTATCCAGGGTTGGTGGTGAAATGGGGGGTGACTACAAAATGGGCATGGAGGATCTCTTTGGGGTGATGAAAATGTTCCAAACTGGATTGTGGTGATGGTGGCACAATTCTGTAAATTTGCTGAAAATTATTGAATTATGTACTTCACACAAGTGAGATTAATGGTATGTAAAGAACTTTCCAAAAGGATGTTAAAAATCCACCTGAAAGGATGTAGAAATCATCTGATTTCATTAACATACTTTCAACTTTTAACATACTTTTAACTTGTATGTCATATATTTGCAAAGACCAGCACTGACTGGCAGCACTCAATAAATATTTGTGAATTTATAAATGAATGGGAGGATGAGTCAGGACAGATTAAGGTAGACAGAATGTCAGCCCATCTAAAATCATTTCCTTTATGGATTACTCTGAGAAACCACACTAACCTAAGACCACACTAGGTATCAATTCCTCTTTGCACCCCATATGTTTCTATAATCTGATTTCTTTGCCTCTGTTAATTCAATTCATTGATTTCTGCAACACTTCTATCTGAAGTAATTAGAACTTCTTAGTTATCATACTTGGTATTTTACATTAAAAAATGTTGGGGAACAGAATAATTTGAAGGACTCTGATGACTAATAGCTGTAATTATACATCTGGCTATGAGTCCCTCTGTGGTGTTAAAGCTGTCTTACTCCCATGCTAAAAAAAAATCCTGTGAAACTTGGATTTCCTTACAACTTCCTCCTCACCTGATGTCAGCAATTTCATACCTCTGGAAATTCAACATTCACAAATCACCAGAGTACTTGCTGCTGTTCTTATTTCTTTTTTTGATCTTACATTGCTTTGATCAACAAGTATGCAGATACTTGTGTTCACTATCTTGATGTTAAATTTTAATTCCAATGCCAAATGCAGTCAATTGGTAGTGTTGGGAGTGATTCTGAAGTCAAGCTCAGGTTCTGTGCAAAGCATGAAGAATTAACACTGTCACAGACACTGATGGTGTGTACTCCTATAAAAATTCCTTTTGTAGAGGCTCAGTTCTGAAAATGCAAAGTTTCTCACTTCACAAATCCAGAATTCTCTGTGTGAAAGGCTCCACTTCTAATGTGAAAGTTGTCATGGACCCCTTATTGAACTGGCAATCCATCCCAATTTCTTGCCCACAATATAATTTTATCTTTTTCCTCTAGTTTAATCACAGACTATTAGAGCTCAGGAAGAGAAAGAAGAGAGAGGGAACAAAATGGAAATCTACACTTATTGAACAGTTTCTATATGCCAGGCACTGTATGAAGTACTTTATATATACACTTGATCTCATGTAATTCTCATTAGAACCTTATGAAATAAACATTATCATCTGCACTAATGACAAGCTAAGATTCAAAGAAGTTAAATTACATGCCAGGACGAAGAGCTAGGAAATGGTAATTTGAATCCAGGTCTATTTTACTCTCTGTGTGATAAAACTTACATTGTACAACCCTTGTATTTTATTCATAAAATATTAACTTCTATAGATGGTTTGTGGTTGACTAAAAGTCACAGGGCTGCCTTATAGCAACACAAAAAAATTGAACTTAGAGTTTCTATTTCTGATTCTAGTTTTCTTAGGCATTTGTCCCTCTTGTGTAACCAATTAATGACTTTGAATCTAACATGAAAAATTTCCCCTGAAGATCCTGATTCTATTTCTCGGTATAAAGTGGTGTTATGCAAACTAAAAAGCCAAACCAAATCAAACCAGTGAAACATACTGAGCTTGAAAAAGCAAGACCCTCCAGTCGGCAGTTTTAAGTTTAAGTACATTCGGCTTCTTCTCGTAGTCTATGGCCTTGGATGCCAGCGCATGATGCACACTCACGGCGTTTTTCAAATCCTCTTCAGACAGGGCCTTTTCAGGTTTATATTCATCCTACAGATGGATAGATGGATACAAAGAAAGCTAAGACAAGATCATATTCATATTTCATCTTCTTTTTTTATGATAAGAAAAAAAACCCTAAAACTAAAAGAAAAACAAATTAGAAAATCCATGAAGGCATGGAAAAAGTGAAATGGTGTAAAAACAACTCTTTGCTACTTCAGGTACCCATCAAGAGAATTTTACTGATGGTGAAAACCTTGCCATTGTGTTCTTAGCTTTAAAGATACTATATTTTCTTCCTACTTTTTTTTGAGTCTAATATTATCAAAAGAAAAATCAAAAGTAAAATAAAATGATTCCTCCAACGGTTCTTTGAAAGAAAAGAGGGAAAATCAGTTTAATAATCAGGAGAAGGCTTAACCCTATTATAGATATAAAAAGGAAAGTGCCATATGAAGATGCAATTTTATATTTGGGCACGAATTATACACTACAGAATTTATAAAGGTTTTCTGTATGGCTTCCCTCCAAACTAACAATAGAAAATCCCAACTAGTAGAATAACAAGACTTTAAAGCAAATTTGATTATTAATATCATATTTTTATGTCTATAGTTTTTCCAGGTCCAATAGAATAACAAAAGGACCTCAAAATTAATTAAATACAGTAGACACTGCAAAAATGTTTTAGGATATGTTTTCTAGTGTTTAAGGTCTCGTCTTCCCTCTTCCCATATATTGTCAGACATGATGCTAAAAAAACTTGCACTTCTATAAAGAAAACACACAAGAACATACAGCCCTCTCACCTAATTAGTAGCAAATCCTTAAGGAAGATATTGCCTATTCTCTTATCACAGCCTGGTTTTACATTTCCAAAAAAACAATTACACGTTCTCATTCCTCCTACTTCCTTCCCCCATCCCTGCCACAAATCAAGCAATTCAAATGTACTATTGCTATTAATTAAAACTGAGTCAGAAATAAACAGCAGCTGTTTGTCCTTAATGATCAGTCAGTGACAGTGATGAGAGACAAAGGTAAGGGAAACCTCAAATACACAGTAAATACCAATTGGAGTATAAAGATTACCCAGATTTATAATATTAAATGATGAAATTTCTTTTCTTTTTAGCTTATGAATACTTTATTTTATGATTTTTAAAATATAATTTATTGTCAAGTTAGCCAGTGTATACAGTGTATACAGAGTGTTCTTGGCTTTGGGAGTAGATTCTATTTTAAGATTGCAACAAGTGTATTTTATTAAGCTTCAGAGATTAAGAACTCCTGTTGACAATGGACAGTTATCTACAGAAGTATGATGAAGAAAGAAAAAATAAAAAGAAATCTTAAGTTAAATACAATATATTTACATATATCTATTCTATAATTCCCATTAACGCAGAAAGCTGTAATCTAGTTATGTTTTGGGGTCCTGTCTTTTCTAAATGAGATTTTTCTTTTTAGCATTCCAAAGATTCACAAATTTCCTCAGGGAGGTATCAACTAGAGGAAGAGGTCCCCATCAGCCTTAGGATCATGCTTACAATAGAACCCTGCATAGCTGACCATCCACTCGATTTAACTTACACTTAAGTCCAGATAGGAATCTGAAGTAGATAAATAATGGGGAGTGGGGATAAAAGACCACGAACAAAATGATCTTCAGAGAATTTATACGCTACCTCCATTTCCATACATACTGATCTCTAACACTTGATATTGGAGTATGCACAGAGATCAGCTTAGAAATTTCTATGAACCTTTTTTGATATTCTAGGTCCATGACTTGGCCTAGAATTATCTTAATCCCTTCTCACTAGTTTCTTTTTGATTTAATTTCTTGTTTGAATTTAAGATGATTACTTAGTCCTTTTGTTTTTCCTATTACTTTTTTAATTAAGAAAGAATTTAAGGCTATAATTTTTCTTCTGAGTACAGGTTACACGTAGTTTGAGAATGAAGAGTACTTTTTCATTGTTCTCTAGATAGTTTGCAGTTTTATTTTTTGATCTCTTCTTTGATCTTAGTCATGTCAAAGAGTATGTTTCTTGAGTTTAAAGTTACCTAAGGTTTTAGTTATTTATCATTATATATCTCTAATTTTATTGGCTTGTGACCAGAGATTTTACAGCAGTCTGTAAAACCCATTTTATTTCTTCAAAATTTGTTAAGGGTAATTTGTTAAGGTTTTCAAACCACATTTGACCTTTGTTAATGTTCCATGGACACACAGAAAAAAAAATTATTCTCTGAGGGATGAGTATGCATTAAGAGATAAGTTTATTGATTCAATCCCTCTATATTCCTACACCATTTTTTCTAAATGTTCATCCCATTGAGACAAATATACTGACCTCTCTCTTTCACTATATTGTATTTTAAATTCTATTTGCATTTCTAATAGTTCTTGTTCACATTTTAGTTGCTATGTTGTTTGATGTATTTAGGTTTATGATTGTTATCTTCCTTAAATGATGGGCTATTTATTATTTTAAAATGTTCTTTATCTAGTAGTGCTTAGTTACATAAGATAGAAACTTAAAATGCTCTCTCCCATAAAAATGTTCTATTTCTCTAATAGTCAACATCAACAAGGTAAGATTTTAAAAATCATTTCGCTTCCCTCTCTCCTTCTCATTAATCCTAAACTTTGCTGAAATACTTTATTATGTTTGTTCTGCAATATTATTAAAATTACTTGATATTATGCATTTTCTATTTTAAAAAACCTTACTTTGTACTTATATTACACATTCACTGAGTCTCTCCTTATTCTTTTAGATCTAATTGCTCACTTACTTTCTATCTTTCCTCTATCTTAAAGTGTTTTCTCATCCCTTGGTTATTTTCTCTCCTTTTGAGTATTTTTCTCAGGTGAATGATCTACTGTAGTCTTTATTAAAAAATATCTTTCGGGGCGCCTGGGTGGCGCAGTCAGTTAAGCGTCCGACTTCAGCCAGGTCGCGATCTCGCGGTCCGTGAGTTCGAGCCCCGCGTCGGGCTCTGGGCTGATGGCTCAGAGCCTGGAGCCTGTTTCCGATTCCGTGTCTCCCTCTCTCTCTGCCCCTCCCCCGTTCATGCTCTGTCTCTCTCTGTCCCAAAAATAAATAAAAGTTGAAAAAAAATATCTTTCACTTTCTTTGACAGGTATAGAACTCTTGGTTGCAGTCCCCTTCCACTCAGTATCTGTAGATGCTATTCTACTGTCATCTACCTTCCAGTTTTACAAAAGTCCAAAGCTAGTCTGATTCTTTTTTTTTTTTCCATTTTACTGTATTTTCTGTTAGGAATCTTATACAGGTTTCTTTTTATCTTTAGAATTTAGGAATTTTTGGTAGGCTATGCCTTAATATTCTCATGTACCCAGTTTCAAATGAAAGAATTCCTACCCCAATATGATTATTCACTTGGGCTGCAAACTGCTGCTAGAAATACTCAACCCAGTTGTACAGATGTGTGACAGCACACACATTTCTGGTCTCTAGCTATTGCTGCACTTAGTGCCAACAGACAATTTTTTTTTTTAATAAATTTTTTTTAATTTTTAATTTATTTTGAGAGAGAGATAGCATGAGTGAGGGAGAGGCAGAAAGAGGGAGAGAGAGAGAGTCCCAAGTAGGCTCTATGCTGTCAGCAAGGAACCTGATACAGGGCTCGAACTCACAAACCGCAAGTTCATGACTGAGCTGAAATCAAGAGTCAGATGCTTAACTGACTGAGCAACCCAGGTGCCCCCAGACAATTCTTTCACACATCCATGATAGTCTCTGTTGCATTCTGCCAAATGTTCGCCATTCTCTTCAACACCCCAAGTCATTAAAACTGTGGCTAAGAGCATAGTTGCCTAGAGTTAGAACTGTCTAGGTTCAAATGACTAGTTCTAATATAATACTTAATGTTTTTGTGACCTTAGGTTAATTAAAGTCATTAAGCTTCACTTTCTAAGCTTGAGAAGCAGTGATAATACTTCCCTCATAAAGTAGTAGGATGAAGTTAAATGAGATACTGTTTGTTAAACTTTTAATGTTCACAGCATATAGTAACCACTCAAATTCTAGCTGGTATAATTTTTTTGTTTTTTTAAATGTTTTATTAATTTTTGAGGGGGAAAGGGGCAGAGGGAGAGGGGGACAGAGGATCTAAAGCAGGCTCTGTGCTGACAGCAGTGAGACTGATGTGGGGCTTGAACTCACAAACCGTGAGATCATGACCTGAGCCAAAGTCAGATGCTCAACCAACTAAGCCACCCAGGTGCCCCTGGCTGGTATAATTCCTAATAATTTCTTAGTAACAGGGTTGGCCTTATATAAGGTCAAACTTGTAAATATAAAACTTTCTGCTTACTACTCCATAAAAAACAATATTTGGTGACCATTTTTATCTCCTTTCTTTCTGAAACAGAAGAATCCTGTGTTCTCAGATCATCCTCCACATACCTTTCTTAGGAGCTTATTTCATGGATCATTATTTTTCTTCTATATTTTTAATCGTTCTCTATCTACTGGCTTCTTCCTCAAAGCCTATAAATATATTCAAAGTCTCTCTTATCATTGTAAGATAATTGTTTCTTCTAAATACTGCTTTCTTCTCTGGTATCACCTCTTTTCTTTTATGTATGATAAGTTAGCTGTTTCTATGTATTAATTTCCAGTTTATCCTTTAACCCACTGCAATTTGGAATCCATTTCTACATTTTACTAAAACCGCTCTGGCAAAGGTCATCAATGACCACCTAATTGAAAATTTCGAGAAATTATTGTTAGTTCTTACCATATGGCACCCAAGGAATTCAACAAAATTCTTGAAATTCTTCCTTTGCTTATGTTACAATACACTCCTTGTTTCTCTCCTACCTCTCTGAGCAGTGTTTTGTTATCTCGTCTTTCAACTATCCTCCAGATGTCAGTTCTGCCACTGTCTTTCATCTTTTCTCATTCCATAAATACCACATGGGATGATTACAACTGCTCTTATCAGTTAAACTCCCACCTATATCATGATGTCTAACAAAGTGCTGTAGGTTGAATGAGAAACATAAGACC